TTAAAAATCTACCAGTCTCTTAATATTATGACTGATATAGCAATACTTAAAGCATTCCACTACTTTCCTAACCCAAAATACTAAAATCCTTCAAACCAAAAAGTGTTCATGACTGTCTTGGTGTTTCTCTTGCTGTGAGATGACACTGTGACCATTGCAACTCATCTAAAGGACAATATTTAATTGGGTAACACAACCTGAGAAAGCAACTGGAAGTGAAGTGTGACACTGGCATGGATTGAGCATTTATGAAACAACAACCCCACCTCCACAGTAACACACTTCTTCAAACAACTCCATGTCTATTCCTACAAAGGTGAACTTTTTAATACTGCCAATCTTTTTTCCAGCCATTTTCTTTGAAACTTCCCTACCTCCCTGAAGAAGCCTACAACACAGAATAGCAAATGGTCTGGTGTAATATTCTCATTGTCACTACAATGAGCAGAATATCTTAAGTTAATCCACTTGCAAGCTGAAATTCTGACCCACTTCAGAAAGTTTCTCTCAAAATGGAAAACACTAACTGGGCCATATAACCAATGAAGTAGATCCTGGCCCCTATGCAGGCCGCTAATTCTTTTACTCTGATAAATGGAAACCTTATTAAACAGCTACATGAATGGAAATCTTTCCAGGCATAAATTAGTGCTAAAATATATTCTCCAGATATATATATTCATATATATATATATGAATATTTTTATTAGAAGCAATCTCCTTCTACATGTAAATCTCTGTTCCCTCTCCCTTGTCCCCAACCACCCAACATCCCAAGCCATTTCTGCTCCCCACTGAGGGTGAGCCCATCCATGGTGTATCTTCAAAATCTGTTATATCATTTGGAGCAAGGCTTCAAAACTCCCCTGTGTGTCTAGGCTGAGAGAGTATTCCTCTATGTGGATGGGCCTCCCAAAGGCCATTGATATACTAGGGATAACTATTGATCCAATAACAGTGGCCCCATAGATTGCCTAGAATTCCAAACTGACATCCTCAATCAGGGGGTCTGGAACAGTCCTATCCTGGTTTCACAGCAATCAGTCTCTGGTCCAGGAGCAAGTCCTTGTTCAGGTCAGCTGCCTCTATGGGTTTATCCAGTCTTGTCCTAGCCCCTTTGCTCAAGACTCCTCCCTCTCTGAAACTGGTTTCCAGAACACCGCTCAGTGTTTAGCTGTGGTTGTTCACCTCTGTTTCTGTCAGCTACTAGAAGAAGGTTCTAGGATGGCATATGAGTTAGTCATCAATTTCATTATTGGAGAAGTGCATTAAAGTTATCCTCTCAACCACTGCTTAGATTGTTATTTGGGGGACACACTCTAAGATCTCTGGACATTTGCCTAGTGCCAGAATTCTCTTTAAACCTATAATGACTCCCTGTATTACTATATCTCTTTTCTAGATCTCCTCAATTCTTCCCCTGACTAAAACATCCTACAGTCTCATGTCCTCCTCTGGCCACTCTTCTCCCCCTCTCTTTCACCTAGGTTGCTCTCCCCTCCCCCATGCTTCCAATCAGCTCAGGAGATCTTGTCCCTTTCCCTT